CGTAAGAAACCGCTGACTTCCGTGTCTTGATTCACATCCCGCATCCTGCTCAGTGTGTTCAGTAGCTCCAGGAGGATTTTGGGGAGATTCTTTAGAGGTTTCTGTATGTAAGATTATCTTCTTGGTGATACTGTCTTTTCTCTGGCTGACTGTGTCGTAAGAACACAGCATGTGATACATCTAACACGTACGTATGTGCTCATCCACTGTTTATGCTACCGGCAAGGCTTCTGGTCACTAGTAGGTTGTTAGTAGTTAAGTTTTGGGAGGGGGTGTCAAAAATTATATGTGGATTTTTGCCTGTGTGAAAGTTTGGTGCCCCAACCCCCACACTGTTCGGGGTCACCTGTCATTCCTAGAACTGCTCTTGTGCCTAGTGCCCCCGTCAATGTGGGCTGCTCCCAGGAGGAGGCTGTCGGGTGCCACTACCTGGGACTGCCCCCTGCCCCTGTCCCTTGGCAAGGGGAGGTTGGCACACTCCAGCCCTGTCACCCAGCCTGGTGAACTTCAAGCTGTTCACCAAGACTGAAAATACCTAAAACAGCTGATGTGTATTTTTCCATTAGTTCTCTAGGGGTGACCCTACAGACCTGCAGTCCCCAACCTGCGGGCCGAGGCCCAGCACCTGTCCGTGGCCTATTAGGAACACAGGACCATGTGTCACCGCCAGAGCTCCGAACCTCCTGCCACCCTTCTGCCCCCACCCCTGGAAAACTCACATTCCATGAAACTGGTCCCAAAGGTTGCAGACCACTGATGTAGGGAATTGTTTTGAAATTAGCTTTGTAAATTTTTTAAATGGTTTAGGCACATTGCAAAGTAGTAAAAACAAATATACAGAAAATTAGGAAAAGGAAAAAGAATCAGGCCAACTCCCACGCCCAGAGAGAGCAGTGCCGGTCTCTTGGCGAGCATCACTCAGAGTTTTGTCTGGACACGCTCGCTGCGCAGCCGCACCCGCCGTGCACAGGCGACGCAGGCCGCAGTGAGAGCCTGTCAGGACTCGCGTGCTTTCGCCTTTTCAGTAACTGGATAAGCCTGGACAGAGTCCTGTACCTGTAGACTCGGGCCCGGGCCGTGGATCTCCCGGCAAGGTTGTATGTCTCCTGGGCGTGGAATGGACAGCCTCCTGGCGTGTGTCGTATAAACCAGCTGACGCCTGTGCGGCTGCGCTGCTCGGCTCATGCGGTCGTTTCCTTGGTGCAAAATGGTCACACATGTGGGCACCCAATAAATGTTTGTAGAGTGGCCTTAACGTTCTGTGTGCCAGAGGAGCACCTCTCCGGTAGCAGTGCGCGGACCACCCCTCCCACGGCAGCGCGTGCTGTGCCCGGTTCCCTGGCCCCGCGGGTAATCGATTTTACCAACTGATGGTGAAATGCCCCGTCTTTCCTTCCCTTGTGTATCTTTGATTACTAGGGAATTGGAACCGCCTTTCACACGGTTCAGCCGTCTATATGCCGTGTCTGTGTTTCTTTTTTTTTTGCGATTCACCTTGCCAGTTTTCAGTTGTGCATTTTTCTCCCCTTACAAAATATCCCCAGAGTCCCTTCCCACGTGGGCTGTCAGGAAGGCACAAAGGGAGGCCAGAGGGGGCATCTGGCGCGGGAAGCCCCTGGGCTTCCTCCTCCACCCGGTGGGAGGCCCGGCCAGCGGGCTCTGTGAGGAGCAGAAAGCAGGTCTGAGAGAGCAACCGTTCCTGGGGTGTGGAAAGAGCAGTTTCTTTCCCCCACCCAAAGCCAGTGCGGTCGAAGGAAGCGCGGCGGGGAGGGAGGGGTGCTGTGGCCTCAGCGTTCTCATCTGTGAAATGGGGGTGGTGACCTTCCTTCCCTGCCAGGGCTGCGCTTGGGCCAAGTCTTCTAACCTGGACAAGTGGGGAAGCTCCTGCCTGGCTGGGGGTCCCCTGCACTCCTCCAACATACCCTCTATGCAGCAGAGGGGGGTTTGAAGCCGCCCCGACCGCTGTGGGAGTCAGCTCTGCCTGTGCTGGCCACTGCCCCTCGGCCGGGTGCTCTTCCGCAGGCTCCCACGGCTGCCTTGCAGTGCCCGCCACGCTCGGGCCCGCCCCGATGCTCTAGTTGGGGCTGGGGGCAGCTGCAGACCAGCATCTGCAGAGGACCCCCGGGCGCCAGCCCAGGGCGCACTCGGTGGGCACTCACTAGGCCAGGCTGGGACGCTGCAACCTGGGCCCGGGATTGGCTTCCTGGCTTGGTGCAGAAGTGGCTTGCTTTTCCACCAAGAGGTGACCAGGATGAAGAATAATTGCTGGGGGCCGAAGCCAGGCTTTGTAGGGGGTGCCGTGGGTCCTCTCATAGGGTCGTGGGTCACTGTCCCTGCCTGGGGCTCCCCTGTTCCTCATTACAGGGCGAGAGTCAGGACCTGCACAGGGAGCAGGGCAGGCAGGGGACGCGTTCGGCCCTGTCACCTCCTCTGGCTGCCTCCTCTCCTTTCCCTTCTGTTCAACCAGCTCCCTGGGCACCCTGCAGCTGCCGACACCCCCACTCTGCCGGCCCCATTCTTTCATCACCTCGTCCAGGCAGCTGCCCAGGGCCCCCCCCCTGGCAGCACTTGCTAACCGGGCCCCATCTTCTCACACCGCTCTGGAGGTGCTCTGCCTCCCCCTGCCTTTGCCTCCTCACTTCATGGCCAACATGGGCAATGCTATGGTGGGGGTGGTGCCGGGCTGCCCCCCCCCACTGGGCTGACGGTGGCCCACACTGCCACTGTCCAACCCTCCTTCCATATGGGAGCCCCCCCATAAACAGCCACACCATCCTCGGTCAGCTAGTGCGACCTCTCCCCTTAGGCTTGTGGGTGTGGGAAGGGCACGGGCACCAGCACTCAGTAAGCACCTGCTGCATGCCTAGCTTTGGACGCTTCCAACTTGTCTTATCCCCTTGTCTCCCCCCCCCCTGCCAACAATCCTAGGAAGAAGAGGGCTTTTGCCATCTTGCAGAAGAGGAAACTGAGGCTCAGAGGGAGGAAGCGTCTCATCCACAATCGTGTAGTGACCAAGTGTCCAAGCCAGGTTTGGGCCCCAGGTGCTGGCTGCTGGCCACTCTCACCCACCACCTCGAGGTGCAGGCCCTGAGTCTGCACCCTGAAGTGTAACTGGGTCTGTCCCACCTGCCTAGCTGCAGGTTTCAGCCATCCACCTTCTCTAACTGGCGCCTTCTGTGGGACAGCTCGGGAGGCCCCGGGGACGGTTCTCCTGCCGGGGGCAGCTCCTGTGTCTGTCAGGCAACGGATTCCAAAACCACGTGGGAGACGGTCAACAGTGGCTGAAACAGAATTAATGAGTGAGTCTGCGACACACAAAGGATATTTGGCTGGCTGCAATTCAGCAAATAGAATGCCCCGCAGTCTGGCCGTCAGTGTGGGCAGTGGGCAGGGTCACCCAGTGGCTGCTTGGGTTTCAGGGGGTACCCGAGTGTGGTGTCCAGAGCCTGGGGTCCGCTTGGGTTGCAGCTCCAGCTCCTCCCAGCTTTTGGCCTCGGGCCAGCCCTCTGGTTGCTGGGATCAAGTTTCTCTAGTGGAAATGAGGAGAAAACTCACCTTATTGTCTGCACTGCTCATCAGATGGGGTTACGCACGTGAATGCCCACACTGTAAGAGAAGCCTGAGGTATTCCTCCTGCATCTGCACCTGGGTGTTGTGCGGAAGCCACGGCCGAGTCGGTGTGGTTGGCGGGGCCGGGGCAGGCGGAAGCCAAGACTCTAGGCTGGGGGAAAGATGGATGAGGTCATGCGTGGAAAACCCCTGTAAGCCGTTGCCACCATCATGAGTGATTGGTGGTCAGACCTGTGAGCCACCACTACCTGCGACGCCTGGGCTCGGCTTTGCTACAGGTGGCACTGCCTGTGCCGGGCAGCGGGCCTGGCCTGGACCAGCTGGAGTGCTCGCTCCGGGCTCTGTGGGGGGCACGTCTCAAGTGCTTGGGTCGTGAGGCCCAGCGGGACCCCAGCCTGTGACTTCTTGAAGGCAGGGCCCTGGCTTTATCCACCCATCCTCAGACCTGCATCAGACATTTCCTGAGTGAATAAATAAATGAATAAACCAATGGACTGTTTATTTAAAATTTTTTAGAATAGTTAGAAGACTGAACTCGGGTTGGGGGCTTCCCGGGAAGCCCCACACAGCCAGCCCCCAATCTTCACATCTTCAACCAATTTTTTTTTATGGTGAGACTAATAATCCATGTCTCTGCCCAGAGGGTGAGCCCCAGCTCAACTGCAGTGAAGGCCGCTTGTGACACTGGGTGAGCGCAGCCTGGGGGGGCACGGAGAGGCCCCCTCCCCGCAGTGGATCATGGAAACAGTGAGGGCCTCTGGGTCTGTTTGCACTGGGACTGCCACCACCTTGCTGTGCGTCTGCGGGTGGCCTCCCATCCAGGTGTGCACAGGTGTCTATGGGCAGGCAGCCCCGAGGTAGGCCGCTGCCTTCACAGGAATGGATGTGGGGACTTTAGACACAGCTTGGTTCTGCTGGGGGAGGACAGAAAGCAGCGCTTTGCCTTGGCCGGGGCCACTCAGGACCAGCAGCGGTGACTCTGTAGTGAGTAAGCATATTCACGCAGCGCCAGCCCTCTCTCCATGCATCCTGGTGCCCACGAGGGCTCCCACTGGTGGGGCCCAATAAATGTGCTCCCTTGAACCGGGGACAATGAGGCCTGGCCTTGGCTGTGGGTCCTGCAGGGGACACTCCCTCAATCTTCTCATACTTGTTGTCAGCTCTTTTGGTTCAGCAAATGTTGGTGCAGCCCCAGCCCTGCAGTAGGCTCTTTCTTTCTCTCCAGCTACCCCGCATGCCCTCCCCCACCACCTGCCGGCACAGCTCCTGCCACCTCCCTCCCTCACCTCCCACAAACCACTGAGGGCCCCAGTTGGTGCCAGCGACAGGGCAAGGTGCAGGGTGCGGGTGATGCATCCAAGGAGGACCCGGCCGCTGGCTGGAATCTCAACTGCGCACTGCTGGGAGGCTCGAGAGGAGCAGGCGTGACCATGGCAGGGACCGCCCTGGACCAGGTCAAGCTCTTTCCCACCAGGCTGCGAGATGGGAGGGAATACAAGGCTGCAGCAAACAGACCTCCATTGCCCCCACGCCCACACCCTCCCGCCTTGCTCAGCTGTGGACTGTGCTGTGGGGACAGCGACAGCATTCAGCACCCTGGACAGCGCCGAGACCGCAGCTGCCCCTGGTGCGGCCAGCTCAGCTCCTCAGGGCAGAGCGTTCCACCTGCCCCTGGACCCCGATCTTGCCGCCTTCCTTGCATTGCTCTGTGCCCTGCCCGCTGGCTCTGAATCTCCACGCTTTCCCCGGCCTTCGTGAGAGCCCAGATGTGCACGGCTCCCGTAGCCTCCAGCTGCCAGATGCCTGGTGAGCCACCAGCGCCGTGGGCCAAGTGAGGTGCTGCTGGCGGGCTGTGGCGCTGGTGCCCAACTCGCTGGTGCTGCTGGGCTGCGCCCACGGCTCAGGCATCTTCCTGGTGATCCTGTCACTGGACCACTTGCTGCTGGTGGCACTCGACATGCCCTTTGCCTTGCCCGGCCATGTGCCAGGCTGTTGGCCTCGGGTCACCTTCCTGGCTCCCAACGCGGCACTGAGCACAGCTGGTGGCTGGCTGTGGGCTTCCCGTGTTTGCAGCGCTCTCCTGCTCGTGGCTCGGCTACAGCAGCGCCTTCCTGTCCTGCTCACTGCGCCACCCGAGACCACCTTCTCTGCCTTCATAGCTGCGTGCTCTGCCTCACCTCACTCCAGGTGCTGAGGGTGGCAAGGCCACTGCCGGCCTGTCGACATCGTCACCGTGCAGGTGCTCCTGCAGCTCACTGACCTGCACCCCAGGGAGTCGGCCTGCATGGACCCCCAGCCCCGCCACTGCTCCTTTCCTTCTGTGGCAGCTGGCTTGAAAAAGCCGGTGGGCACCATCACCATCACTCTGCCTCTGTGTCCCCACCTTGCGGGTGCCCCTACAGAGGGGCTGTCGGTTGCTCCCCAGCATGTCTGCACACGCAGTGGCCGGAGCTTCTCAGTGTCTGCATTTGCCTCCGGGGCGTGTGCCCACAGTGCGCAGGGAGCTGTGAGGTGTGTGCCACCAGGAGGGGCTCCACCCAGGCCCTAAAGTGGGCGCAGCCCCTGTCCCCCTCCCAGTGTGTGTGGGTGTTGAGCTGAACACGCCTGGTCGCTCCTGTGCACTGCTGCCCGGTGCCCTTGCCGTGACCTGGGCTCTAAGTCCTCCAGGTGCACAGGCCTCCAGGCAGCTCTGCTCTCCCCCGGGGCGGGCCCAGGTGGTTGCCCCTCGCTGGGTCCCACCCAGCCCGCTCCTCCGTCAGCAGCCTGCCTCGGCTCCTCTGCATGGAGGGGAAAGAAGGGCGAGGGAGAGGGGTGGCAAGAGGCTCAGAGCGGGAAAGGACAGTTGTACCCTCCCTCCTCCTTGTCTCCCTGACCACTGTCCCCTGTCCCTGCAGCATGTAACAGTGCTGCCTTCTCCAGCAGAAGAGGCGACACCAGCATGCCCCAGGAAGACCAGAGTCTTCATTGGCTCCTGTGTGGGCGGTTTTGTCCACATGTGATGACCAGGTGGGTCCTGGCAGTCAGGCCCCTGCGTGGGAACCTTGGGAGGGCAGGCTTGGCCTCAGCGGGGCAGGCCTCTGAGGTTTCCCAGCTGGAGGTCTGGGGGACAGCCACCCCTGTGGGCCCTGTCCTCCATACCTGGGGTGCGGGTGGCCTCAACTCAGCTCCTGTCAAGGGCCCTGGGCTGGAGATGGCACTGGCCCCACACCTGTCTGGGCGCAGGCAGGTATGGGGTCTGTCGGAACCAGCACCTGGATCTTTCAAAATCAGCTGGCAGTCGGGGACCAACCCAGGCCTTAGGGTCTGTATCTCCTGGGCATGGGTTCAGGGGATTCTAGGTAGAGGGACAGGTCGGGCCCCTAGATAATGCCACAGCTAAGAGAGTGTTCTCTTTGCTCCTTCTCTAGTCCCCTTCCCTGGAGACCTTGGGCTGAGCTCCTGTCAGGCCAAAGGCACTGGAGTTGCAGGTAACTGGGGAAGATTCTGCTAAAGGGCCTGCTGCAACCCTTGCCATGGTGCTGTGCTGAGGGCCGTGGGAGCCTGTGGTTTTGCCTACAAAGTTCTAAGGTGACTTTTTCCATGGCCAGGTCCCTGCAGTGGTCTGGCCCTCTGGGTGTGCTCTGCTCCTGTGTCTCGGGCTACAGACAGGTCACCCCGACAGAAGTGGCTCCTGGGGGGAGCCTTGAGGGGCCCAGGCTTCCCACACGAGGGGAGGGGCCCAGCACGGCCATGGCACCAGGCGCCCGGTTTTGTTTGTGGAAGGGCTCCTGGGGTTGCTTTCTGATGCCCCTCGAGGCCCCTGTTCAAGACGGCTGTCTGTCTTCTAGGTCGTCGGGAGGGGACACTGTTGCCCACGGGCTGGGGGGCTGCAGGAGCTCCTGTACCGGCTACAGTGGGCTCTCTCCTCCCTGCCACACTCCCTCCGCCAGCTCCTGGGAAACAGCACTCAGGACCTGCTCTCTTGGCCACCAGTCCCACCTGGCTTAGGGACATGGAGCTGGGTTTCTTGTGGATCACGGGCACCCTCCTTCCTCACGTAAAACCGGCAGAGGCCTCTGGTCCTTAGGAAATGGCATGGGCACAAGTGTGGACAGGGGACTGCAGCACCCTTCTCCCGTGAGGTAGCCATTTATCTGCCTGTCCTGATTGCATGTACCTGTGCCTGTGCCTCTGCGTGTACATGTACACGTGTGTATGTGCATGTGCACACGCGTGCAGGGGTAAATGCTGGAGTTCCCAGAGCTCCTGCATGTGGATCCAGCACAAGCATTTAGTTTTGAAATTGTGAAAGAATGGTGAGTGAGACTGGCGTGCTCAGCCGCAACGTTCTGATGAATCATGGGTCTGACTTTTATTTTCATGCATGTGTGCAAGGTCCTGATAGTGTGTGTGCGAGTGCACACATGCGTGCAAGAGGAGTAAGCCAGGAACGAAGTCTGAGGCCTGCATGGAGGGATGCAGACTGGGATTGAGTCCCTGAGGACTTGCCCGACAGGCACCTCTCACGCCACAAGCATGACCTGAGTCAGAACTTACACCCAGGACGTGGATGAGCTTCGAAGGCAGTTGGTGGCTTAACCCGCAAGAAGCAGATGTCCCGGAGTGGCTCTCCCTTAGAAGCCCCTTAGAAGCTTATGCACTATTCTGCTAGTTTTGCAGTTGCTACAAACACTTCAGAGATCCTGTGGGAATTGTTTTCCCAATGGGGGTGCATTGTTAGATTCTTCTGTGGGCGCCTTGAAGGCGGAAATACGGGTGAGAAACACCTGACTCACCCTGCGTCTGTTTGTGTGGCTACAGGAGGTACAGGAAACAGATGATGATGTTCCTTTCTGTCTCTTGTTTGTCCCAAGGGCTCTATTTAATCAGTGGTGTGGACGCAGTCCCTGGGCATGCAGCACCCAGAGCAGGAGGGCGCGGTGCAGAGCTCAGCCCGGGAGCTGCAGCCTGTCGGTGGGGGGAGACGGACATAGACCCAGGTGCTGCGGGCACAGAGACCTCGCGCTCTCTCTGCAGGGCCTGTCCAGTCAGAGCCCTGGTGGGTGACACTCGACTTCTGGTGGCTCTAGATACTCCGCCTCAGCCGTGTGTTTCTGATGTGTGCCCGGGGACGTTATCATATGTGCACCTTGGCTTGCCAGGGGAGAGGCACTCGCACACGTGTGGCTTCCCTGCTTGGCTCAGCTCCCCCGGGGCTGGAAGAAACCCTTCGCTTCTCAGATCCCTTCCTCAGACCTCCTCTGGCTTGCCTGTGGCTGCTGTGACCAGCCTTTATCCATGCTTGATGGTGGGCTTCCTGGAGGTGGGGGTGATAGTGTGCAGGGGTGATTTTCCAGTCCTCAGCCAGTGGCAAAGCCCTTCCCTGACTATCCCCCAGGGGTGAGCAGTGCTGGGCCATGCCTGCCTTTGATTTGTACCCTGCCCCCGTTCTTGGTGTAGGTGCCCCACCTGGGACCCCGCCCCTCAGCTTCTCCCTATCCTCACACTCACCCCCCTGTCCTCCCGCAGGGGAGGGGTCAGTCTGACCTGTTGCCGCACCCCAGCACCTGCTACATTAGTGGGTGCTCAGCGGGTGGTCTCCAAGCTAATGAGTGACCCAATCAAGTTCTCTAAGTCTTGGGGCCATGGTCCTCTGAGCGAGGGTGGGACATCCTGGGACAGAATTTCACTCCCTGTGGGGTCATTGGCTGGTAGGGAAAGCCTTGGCCTTGTGGGGCCCTGACTCATAGCCATGACCTCTGGCCCCTTGGCCAGCCAGGAACTAGGAGGAAGAATGGCTGCCGCTGTGCACTGTGGCAGCTCTTAGAAGTCTTGTTGTGACCTAGGACCCCACCCAAGCTGTTTCACCTGCAGTGCCAAGAGCAGAAGGACCCCTCACAGGTGAAGGCCTGCCCCACCCCTGCGGCCCTCCCACCCTGAGCCTAGCCCCTCCCTGCCCAGGTCTCAGCTGGTTTCAGAGCATCACAGGGCTCAGACCCAGATGCTGGCTTGAGCCGTCCCTCTGGCGGGTATGTGCTGGTGGCCCTGGGGACATCTCTGAACTCCTCTGGGCTGGTGTCTTGGCCCATAAAGGAGATGGCAGTGGGATCAGTTCCCTGGGTGGCTCTCCTAGCAATGGTTGCACGGCAGGTGCACGGGAGGTGCCTCAGGTTGAATTAAGCTGAGTGAGGACGGTGGGAAGGCAGTGGTGACGGTGGCAGTAAGCTGCCATTCATGGAGCACTTCCTGCATGCTGGTACTCCCCCGCTGGCATCGCAAGCCCAGAGGTTGGCACTGTCATCCCATTTTATGGACGAGGAGCTGGAGGCGCCAAGAGCTTGCACAGAGCCACTCAGGTGGTGAGCACCAGGGAGTGTGCATGCATGAACGCTGTCACCGTGGCCATTGCTGAATCACCTGTGGGTGGAGCTCCCGCCCTCCATTGCGGCGAGCACCCGCTGGGGTGCCCTGAGCAAGTGCCTGCCCTGCACCAGGCGGTGGCTGATGCATGCGTGAACCCTGCTCTGCCAGCAGTTGCGCCAAGTCCTGGCCGCCACAGCGAACAGCTGCTGAAGAGACAGCATTCCCGGTCTCCCCACATGGAGGATGACTTCTGCTGCAGCAGACGCGCCGAGGCCCTTCGGAGGAGCCGGGGGGCTGGGGCACAGGCCCTGCCATGGAAACACCACTTTGGAGCCCCCCAAAACCTGCGGCTTGGTTTGGACAGAGGTTGCGGTGCAGGGAGGAGTGTGGGTGGCAGCAGAGGTGAGGAAAGCCACAGGCTGTGGATGCTTTGGGCTCTGGGCTCGGCACCTGGCTGCTGGGTGGCCTCAGGACAGTGGCTTTTCCTCTCTGCGCCTCAGGTTGCTTACCCCCTTTCTGGAGTCGTGATGCTCCGGGATGGGGGGATGAGGTGGGAAGCGCCGCATAGTGCAGGATGCACGTGGGCGTGCTGTGAGTGACAGCTGTCTTTATGGGCAAGGTGGCCACGCCTGCCCGAGGTCTGCCAGGCAGCCAGCTTGACGCCTGTGGTTGCAGCATAGTTATTAACATTGTCCTTTGTTTTGCAAGATCAATTCCACGGCGAGTCTGGTTGGGGGCTCCCAGAGCTCACTGCTGACAGTCTGTGGTCAGGGCAGGTGGGGGTGGGCATCTCCGGGACGTGCCCGGCTCTGAGAAGCCAGGAGGCCCAGCCGCTGGACTCCACTTCTGCCCACGTGGCTGTCGTGGCGGAGCTCACGTGGGGCCTGCATCCCAGCTCCCTCCCGTGGTTTGCTGAGGGGTTGGCACCTCGATGGGGAGGCTGTGGGGACTGGCCGTGTGCTCAGAGCCTGTCCTGGTGCAGGGCTGTCAGAGCAGAGAGGCTGTGTCCTTCCCCAGAGGCCACTGCTGGGCCTCTGATCCTGGTCATGCCATGTCCAGGGACTGAAGCAGCAGACAGCCAGGTGTCCAGGGAGGCGTGCCCAGGACGGGAGGGGCCTCGCCACCCAACTGCAGCCCCTCTGCTCAGCCCTGGGGGAGCTGGGAGAAGCTGGGACTTCCCTGAGTGGCAGTGGGCACTGTCTCAGCCTGGAAATCCTGCGGCGCGAGTCCTGGGTGGGGCACCCACGGTTGAAGTCGCTGAATGTTCCCACGGGACAGCTGCAGGAATTTTGTGCTCATCTGTCATACTCGGCAGCTCAAGGGGAGCCTGGTGCCCTGCGTGGGGAGGGCAGATGCGAGTGAGCGAGTGAATGAATGAATGAGGGGGCACGGCTCTGTCCTCAGCCTCTGCCACTGCTGTTTTCTTTGCTCCTCAGGCCCCAGGGCCATTCCCTGCAGAACCGGGTGGGCTGCAGGCTCTCAGGCCCCACCACGTGGGAGTATGGGAAGACGGTGACAGGGTCTCACCCCAGGATCTCGGAGGCACCAAGGCCTGCGTCCTGGCACCCCACACCAAGGACAGCCGTGCAGGGAGAGTGCGGACCTCAAATCCTTTCCTCTAGAGCCGGATTCTCCAAGGACATAGACACACAGCGGTTGTCGGCTTGTGGCCTGTCTGCGTTCCTCACGGTTTACAGCCTGGTGGGGCTGGTTTCACAAATGCTTTTCTGAATAACTGGGCATTGTTTGGATGATTTGCCAATGCCTCCCCCAAAAGGAGATATTTAAAAGTGTTTGTAAATCACAAAGTGCAATCAAATAAAAACTTATTCTTAGGAATAATGATAACTATGGAGATATGGTCAGGAAGCAGTTAAAAATGTTAGAACACACAAATGAGCCTTGCCAGTTCAATCCAACCCATCACTGCGCCCCGAGTGGCATCTGGCTCCGCGTCCCTGCACTGACCTCTGCACTCCCAGCCGCCCAGGACAGCCGGTCAAGGAGCCTAAAGGTGGCGGGGCCAATCCGTCCAGCAGGGAACACAGCTGAGCTGGACCCCAGGGTCCGGCGGCTCTGTCCAGGGTTCAGGGCATGTGCACACGGACAGGCACGCTGGCTGCACTGGCTTGCAGGGCTGTAAGGAGTGGCCAGTGCCCAGATGGCCATCTCCTTCCCCAGGAAGGGAGAGAGGGGCTCTGGGAACATGGGCGGCTGGAGCCGAGGAGGCTTCTCCTCACCTGGGGGCTGAGGTCTGGTCTCCCTGTTCCCAGGGTCCTGGGGATCTCCTGCCCAGAGGGCCCTGTGCTGCAGGGAGGTGGGGGCAGGGCGGAAGGGCCCTCCT